ATTCATCAATGCTTTACGCGATAGAGAAATCGCGATAATTCCGCGAGATAAGATCTCAATCTAAATTAACGACGCGAAATTAGCTGCCGCGTTTTAAAGAGAGAGAAAAAAAAAACAAACCGTTATGCGATAATACCAGGTTTGTGTGCGTAAAGTCGGTTTTACCGGATGTAGGATTACCGTGAGGATTGGCCTCTCCTGCCGGTTCTCGGGGTCATAAATTGCGCATCTCGGAGAAAAAAAAAGAAGTAAAAAAAAATAACGGATTTGCGCTCGCAAAAGTCACTCGGTCGTCGCATTAGCCGAGGCAACGTCTTAATGGGATACCTGCAGCCGAAACTGCAGGTTGCACGGCCTGCCATCGTCCAATTGCACGGTAGTTAGAACGCAATTAAAGTTACATAATCTCTCCTGCGCTGCTGGCTCGTTCCTCCTGCGGTGAACAGGAGGAACGGGCATCCTCGGCCTCCTCATCAGTAACGCGTTAGTTGTTGACCGAAAATTCTCTCTCTTCTCCGAAGATCTCGCAGGTGCGCTCACCTTTCGCCCCGCTTATTTAACGAAAACCGCCGTAAACGCACGTTTTTCCCGCAAAAGTCGGATTTGTTCGATTTTCCCCATTTTGAATTTTGACAGCCGTGAGTCATTTAATCGGCAATCGCGATCGTCGTCTTTCGCGCCCGTGATTCGATAATGATAATTATGTGAACCGATTACATTTGTAACGTAATCATAAAGATCGTTGAGATTTAACGTTTGTTTTGCGCGGCGTGAGAAGAATGATTATCGTAAGCAAACCTGTCTCTTCGGCATCGCGATTCTTAATCATCGCTCGCGCGATTATACTCGCGTTATCCCCGCCGCGTAGGAAAGGAATTACACTCCGCTTTTATCAGCGCGCGATATTCTCAGCGGATATATTTATATATGCACAGGGAGGAAGGGGAGAGGTCTACCTAAATTTGTAAGAAAATTCCCTGAAAATGTACTGAAATAAACTGAATAGCTTTCGTAAGATAAACATTTTTCACCTGCACAACATTTTCATTTCTTTATCATTAAAAATTATATTGAAAAGAATATCTACTGCATATTCAATATTTTGCTAAAAATTGAATATATGAATAAAGATAGATATATGTATATTTATGATATATTTTAAATATACATATAATTCATAACTTGGCTTATTGGCGGATTGCTTACAATATAAAAGTATAATCAAAGAAAACTTTTTTAAAAATTTTCAATAAAATTTCACGAGAATTCTCAATTTCTTCAGGTGCGAAAGAAATCTCTGAGAATTCCATGTTTTCCATATTTCTCCAGGGAATAGACATTCTATATATACATATATATATTTTTTTAATTCCCCTATAAAATTCTATAGGAATTCTCGATTTCGATATTATTTAAATATTATTTAATATTTCCCGAAGAAAAAAAATATGGAAAATCTAACATTCTCAGATATTTCTCTTATACTTGAAGAAATCATGAGGAATTTAAAAAAATTTTTCCTTTGCTAATATTTTTATCTTGTAAGCAAAATCCGAAAAAGAGTAATATATATAACTATTTCCTCTTTTAAACCGTTCGGTCGTATTCCGTATGATTAAATCACACGAGCACGCTTTACGATGGAGGCCAAAGTATCATTATTCTTTCCCTGGCGCGTAGCTTCCGAGCAGAAATTCCGGAGCACCGTCCGTAAAGCAACAACACGAAAAAGATGATTAATCGCGGTTACTGAAGCGCCACGATATTACGCGTGCGAATCATGTCGCACGCCGGTTCCTGGCAAATTCATGGGAGTTGGTGTCGGTGAAACATTAATGCCGATCGTAATATTCTCGTTCAACATGTCAGATTTCGGGGAAAGCCGCGCGCCGCGTGTCTCCTTTCACTTTTCCATCAAACGCTTCGTTAGACGCGTTATAATTAATATGGATGAGAAAATAAAAATATGGGTTTGCTCGCGTATATTATCGATACGCGGAAAAGAGCGTTTCAAGAAACGCGTTACAAAATTTGTCGAGAAAATAGTTTCGTTAATGATGAATTAATTTAAAAAAAGCTACTGAGGGAAGATTGGGGCTCGAGAGCAAGGAGGTCTCGCAAATTTGGGCTTGATTTGCTCGGTGATGCAATCTTACGGCGCGATAATCGCGCATTTTTTTTAAGGGTACGCGCGTTCAAATCCGTGAAAGGGAAAAAAAAGATAAGATGAAGAGGAGAACGCGGCGATTGTAGCGAAAATGCAAGCTCGGATTCACGCCTCGGTAAGCCCGACGTACCGTAGCCGCGCACGCAACATAAAAGTTTCCAATTATAATGCACGGCATGATACTTCATTTCGTCCGTCGTCAATTAAAAATCGCCCGACGGCGGCCATCGCTACCGAGTAATTTGCGCGCCAGTAGCGATATTCGTGGATGAAGGAAAGAAAGAGATATGAAAAGAAAGGAGAAGGGAAAGGGGGAAAAATTAAAAAAGAGAAAAAAGGAGAGGAGAGAAAGAGAGCGAAAAAGAGGGGAAGGGAGGAAGCGCGAGCTTATTATCGAATAAATTACCGTGGGTCTTATCGAAACATTGCACCGTTTCGGAGAATGTTGCGTATAATAAAAAAAAAAGCAGAGAGAAACAAAGAGAGAAAAGTGAATGTCTTCTAATGAGATAGTTATAATCCTGATTCGCAAATATAGCATTTATATACTCCTCCATGCACTATAAATCTAAACTTATAATAACTCAAAAATCCTTCGAATACAATATATATATTAACTTCAATATTAATTGCAAGATTAATTCATTATCATTATATTCATTATAAATCTTGAACCTTCGTGTTTAAATAATAATTGATAACTAAATCAACGATCAATCATCAAAGTGAGCAATATCGCTTATGTTTGTTGACATAAAAAATTCTAAATAGCGGTTATATGAAGTAATTGCTGGTGAAATGATTAAATAATATCCAGCAGCGTACATTACTTAAGAGCCTTATTCTCTTTTACATGTCTAAAGTTACATTCTTGACAGTTTCTGAATATTTTACGGGGAGATATATCTTATGCGCGACAGATTGATTTTCCTGTTCAATAAATCTCATCGATATATCACGAGAAAATAACATTTCCTTCACTTCGGTATCAATTACAAATTTATAAACTTTTTTCACGACTCGCTTCTTCACAATCGATCTTTAACTCCCACTAAAGATTAATTAATGTTGACCGTCAATCGATTAATTAAGAGTGGCTATTTAAGCAAGCTTATTTGGACACGAGATATATTAATCATCTTTACCGCAATATTTATCGGAAAAAACACGCAAGGTAATGATCTATATTACATATATATATATATATATATATATATATATATATATATATATATGATATAGAACGAATCAAGCGTTTGCCACGAGGCAGTATGACCTTCGGGGATGTTTGAGCGGCGATTAATCGTTAAAAATTGCGATACATCTTGCGATCTTTCGACGATCTAAATGTATGGCACGCATGCGAGCCGTATCGTATTAACATATGGCATTTTTACTTATTTTGCATGTAAAACCTCGCGCTTTTAATATATTCGCACAGCTTTACATGGATTTCTACAATAATTACATGCGACCGTAATAGGGGTCCTCGTGCGCCATATCGATACGGTTAGCGCGAGAGCTCAGACTACACCTGGGACAACTGACATTAAATAATACCAGCATCTCTCAAAAACACCATACACGATAAACAAGATGATATATAATTTCTTGGTAACGCGAATATATGATTACAAAATATAAGTATCGGAAAAATGAATCGTCTTTTTTCGGTGGAAGAAAATTATATACCGAATACTTGATGCCAGATACCAACCCGTATACGAGTAAAACTTATTTAATGACACGATGAAATATGATAAATGCTCCTCTAATCGGCGTATGTGAGAAGCGAGAAGATTAATCAAATTTGTCGATGTGTATTGAATATAACATTCGGAAGCTATTTACAGGATATCCTTTTCTTGTTATGAGTTTTCTACCGGTGATTTATTAAGAAAAGGCACATTACAGATACAAATAAAGTGTTGGTTTAGCGCATATGGTAATTTCTATGACAGGGAGAGACGGAAATCACGGTGTTGCACATTCGCCAACCATAACGAGCATTAACTTCCTCCATTTACTTGGCCCCAGTTATATTTGTGCTAGAATATATATTTATATAATATAGAATTTTGATATATATTTTATTTGATGTATGAGAGGAGGATATAGGAAGCAATCGACGTACCTACAGTTATAGAATAGATACTATGTTCTTTCACAAGTTTCTATTTAGAAGAATATTTAATGAAGTATATAACTGTTCTTGCAGACAATGATGGCAAATTTCTCCTATTGTCGTTTCATTACACTGAGAAAAAACAATAGTTAATTACCGTTTAGTCAAATTAACAACTTTTTTCTCAGTAGCTGCTTAAACATATCACACGTATATTTGTCCAATTTGTTTCCACCCATTAAATGTATATGTAAATATGCGTTATGTGTCTAGGGAAAAAAAGTTTGTCCGTAACTCTTAAAAAAATGTGAAAAGAACATTTTTTTAAAAATAAAATACAAGATAAAAAATGATATAAAATGCAAGATAAAAAAAGAAAGAGATATTAGAGATCTATCAATGCAAGGGTCTATTTATGCACTTATTATGATTGTCACTTGCATCGAAAAAGAAAGTGAGTTTCATGCGATACAAATCGCATGTTGGCAGATATTTGCAGATTCGGTGTTGTTGAACTTTAGGCTATCATGAAGCAAATTCGCACGCATGTTTATTTCCTGAACTCGCCCAGGCGACTTTTTTGTGCCTAACGTACGTAAAGCAAGACTCCATACATATAATATAAGCGATGAGGTGCAGGGAAAGTGCTAAGCTATTATAGCGCGGGCTATATAAGGCTCAGACTAGAAAACGTAGCGGTTCAGTTAGTGGTCATACGCCACACTAAAAACATACGCGAACTCAAGAATGAATATCAAGGTAAGTTGGTGCATCGTTAAAAAGGTGGCCGAGATTAAATCACATCTCGAATCAATATCTTGCAAATTGGAATTAATATAATATATTAAGATATCTATAAAATTTCTTTTGCCTGCAAGTTGTAGAAATATATTAATAGCTCTCGATGAAAAATTAAAAAAAATATCTCAAGATATAAATATTTTTCGGCAACTTGATAAGCGCGCATATTAATTTTTTATTATTCTTTGTTAATTGTTAACGCACAATATATATATATATATATTTTTTTTTTGACGCGTGACTTTAGATTGCCATCGTTTTGGTGGCAGCAGCCACTCAAGTTATATGCTCGAAAGAGTCGAGCGAGGCGAGTGAGGGGAAATCGCAGAACGTCGAGGCGGAATCAACGGAGAAGAAGACAGAAAAACGCGGGCTCGTTCACAGTTTCGGTGACCTGGGCGGCGGCGGTGGCGATCTGCACGGCGGCGGAGGAGGCGGTGGAGGCGGTGGAGGCTACGATCAACACGAGCACGTGAAGGCAGTGACGGTTGTAAAGAAAGTGCCGGTACCGTACGAAGTAACGAAACATGTGCCCTACCTGGTGGAGAAGCACGTGCCGTACGAGGTGAAGGTCGGCGTGCCGCAGCCCTACACCGTCGAGAAGCACGTGCCCTACCCGGTGAAGGTGTTCATCAAGGTACCGGTACCCGTGCCGCAGCCTTACACCGTCGAGAAGAAGGTGCCGTACGAGGTGAAGGTACCCGTGGACAAGCCCTACGAAGTCAAGGTGTACGTGCCGCAGCCTTACACCGTGGAGAAGCACGTTCCGGTACCGGTAAAGGTACCGGTCCCGCAACCTTACACGGTCGAGAAGCACGTGCCCTTCCCGGTGAAGGTGAAGGTGCCGGTACCGCAACCGTACCCAGTGGAGAAACCGGTGCCCTACGAGGTGAAGGTACCGGTGGATAAACCGTACCCGGTCCACGTGCCGAAACCGTATCCGGTTACCGTTGAGAAGCCGTATCCGGTGCCAGTCGAGAAGCCGATACCGTACGAAGTGAAGGTGCCCGTAGACAAGCCGTATCCGGTCTCGGTACCTAAACCGTATCAGGTGCCGGTGAAGGTGCCGGTGCCGCAACCCTACTACGTACACAAACCGGTGCCAGTGCCGGTGGAGAAGCCGGTCCCGGTGCCGGTCAAGGTGCCCGTAGACAAACCGTACATCGTCACGAAGGAAGTGCCGGTTCCGGTCGAGAAGGAAGTACCGGTGCCTTATAAAGTTCCGGTAGCCGTGCCGGTGCACATACCGAAGCACGAGGAGCACTATGGTGGCGGCGGCGGTGATTTCGGCGGTGGTTACGGCGGTGGTTACGGAGGCGATGGAGGCGGTTACGGAGGTGACGGAGGCGGTTACGACTTTCACTCTGGCGGCGGCGGCGGCGGCGGCGGCGGCGGCGGCGGCGGCGGCGGCGGCTACGAATCGTTTCACTGATCTTGACGACGATGACGTGAAGCGAACATCGCGAGAGGCCTTCTCATCTTCTCTCTCGATGTGATCGCGCGCTTTTCTCCGAATCGGTATATCATATCATTTCGCTGGACCATTTTAGAAATCCTTGGGAAGATCTCGGCAATTGATCGAAATTTCATCGTACAGCAAGAAATATGACAATTGTATACAATTAATGGATGACTTATAGCTGTAATTATTGATACTATGATTGACGAGTTTACCGATTGTATTTTTATATGTATTATATTTTCAGGAAACGCATAATTGTAGCGATTATTTCGATCCAATTATTATTAGGCTACGGCTATTCTTAGCTAATATTGCGATGAGATATAAGTGAATCGATAATTCTATCCATGCTTTTCGTGGCGATTAATAGATTGACGGATATCTCTCTCTGAAAAGCCTAAATAAATGTTCTGTATATATGTTTCGCGTTTGAAAAAGATACCGGGAAGTACGCGTAAGTTTCAACGAACATTATTCGCTTAATTTCGCTTAATGTTCGCACAGTATTGTTGTGAAGTATGTTTACCATACTGAGAAATGTTGTACCTAAGTAAGTTAAGTGAAGAATGTATTGTGAAAAAAGTACGTATCTTTTATACGAAAGGTTTAATAAACGCTCTGCCCTTATTACACCTTACTTTTCTTGATCCTTATTTCAACGGTAGATCCGAGATCCCAAGATCCTTTTTCTTACCCAATGAGAAAAGAAAATGAGATAATACGTAGATAGGTAAAATTATACATTAATAATTATACATAATGTGTAGATTCATACACCGAGACCGTGTTACGCTCGTAGCGTGATATAAATCAACGTCAAGATTTACTTTCTCGAGAATTTCGTTGATGAATACCAGAGAGTTTCACTCTTCTATATTCATCGTTTTATTGTCCGCGAAAAAAAAAAATATTTTACATCATTACGAAATCCGAACAACATAAAAAAAATTAATCCGGAATCCAAAAAAAAGTTACCATTAAATAAGTTCGCATGTAGATTACAACGATCCTTTCCGCGTTCGTTTTCCGGTCTAGCAAACACCGGTAAAAGCGCTTTTGGCCTCTCGAGAGATCGTTACGTTGCTGTCGCGTTCGTTGTCCTGGCATCGAAAAGAGGCAAAAAAAAATACACGTAAATAAAAAGGAAGCGGGTGTCCTGCTGGACAGAAGTTTACATATGGACTTCCGCGAGCACTTTCGATTCTTGAGAGAATTTTAATTCTCGTACCACCCGGTCTCAATTAAGATACACGCGTCGCGCATTCAGGAAAGCATTACTTTCTCCATCCAGACTCTCGTGTACAACATGTAAAACGTCATATTCCAACGCGGATATCTACGAGGCATGTATATCCCACAGATTTCTATCGCCACTCCTTTCACCAGGTCGATTTATTGAGATCGAAAAATTGATCCGAGAATTTTTTTCACGACTCTCAAAATGCTCGAGCATGAGAAAATAATGTTATAATTTATCAGCGGAATTTCTCTTACGTTCGATGTTAAAGTGATATTTAATTAGCCTCGAATTAGTGTTCCGTATAAAAATAAAATTTACCTTAATTTGCTTAATTCATTTAACTCGATCATGAATATTTTTGTCTCTATTCGTAGAAGAGGGGATAATAAATATTAAATAAAATATTTCTGATGAGAAATTGGGTCGGTCACATTAACGAAAAAATTTCCTATTTCGTTATACAGGATGGACAGCTGGCTTTACTGAGATTTCCTATCGATATTATCAGTCCCCGCGGCCGCGACGTAATTGAAACTCGTACGCAATTAAATAGAAATAAAGAATATGAAATGTCTGTAGATCATATTCCGCTGGACTTCTCTATAAAAAAATTAACAAAAAATAAACCGGTGAACGTTTCTTAGATGCTCGTTTAGCTGCTAATAAAATCTCACTTCCGCGTCCATTTACACACGTGGCAAAAAATTGCAACAAATTACATCTGGTATTATCAAACATGAGGAGAAATCGATAATGATGCAATACTACAGAAAATCATCGTAAAATCTCGTTATATGCAATTTCTAATATCGGATGTATTTAGGAGACGCGTTATTAGAATGCAACATAATGGTCTAACGATACGATTAGTTAGTCGATGAAATTACGTATGTATATGGTATCATAAAATTCGCTGCTTCTCTGAACCTAACGATCGCGTGATTATATTCCATGTACTTAAATAGCTAGCTAAAATTCGCCTTTTATCGCAAATGTGATAAATAGTACTATTGCCGTCTGTTGTACATTAAAGAATGCACGTAATAAAGATATATTATTACGATCATTAAATATCGTCAAACTAATTGTAAGAGCGCAAACATTGTTGGACGTTAGTATATGTGTATGGAACGTATGTAGATATACGCGATTCGAAACGTAGAGGAAATCCCTCTCCAGTCCCGCAGAAATGCGAAAGTGATTCCGGAAGGGTGTCTGAGTGATGGAGATAGTTCAAAAAAAAAAAAAAAAAAAAGTATGTGCGTAGTATCACGATGCAACGGAAAGAGAGAAGCGTTGAGCGAACGACCAGTTCTTCGTGAAAGTAAAAAAAATGACGACGATTCTGCGATGCGTGAATTATAGCTCCGCGTGCGCACAGGTATATCAGGCTCCTTCTTCTATGTCAAGATGCACTTCCGGTTTTCTATCGGCGCTCTTTGGTAATAATGAGGAAGAAAGTTTGCTGCGCGACGCACCGCTGCTACTGTCTCGTTCCTTCATATTTCGTTTGTCTAACGGAAGTAGACGCATCTCATTTCCGGATCAGTCTGCATTATCATCGTTTCGTAATCTCATGTGGTAACAGTTGAGAAGCGCGAATTAATATATATATATATATATATATATATATATATATATATATATATATATATATATAAAATTATTAAATGAAAAAAAAATATATATATATATTTTTTTTTCATTTAATAATTTTCTCTCCAAATATAAGCATTGCTACACAATTTTACAATGAGTCAATCTTTTATCAATACAAGCTTATGCTTTTCAAAGAGTTAAATATTTTTAATTACTCGTATACATTATGTTTCAATAGAAATGCCAATAATTGTTGGAATCATATATTTCGTTCTTTTTTAAAAATTCACGTTGGAAAAAAGATACTCGATGGCTTTCTCGTGGAAACAGAGAAGAAGGCAATCGCGTAAACTCGAAATTTCTGCGCCATTATCTACTTCCACTTTAACGTTCCAACGTTCCCGTTCCACGTTTGTTCGCGGAAAGCTTGCGTAGAGCGAGTTCCCTTATCCACATCGTCGCTGCGGCAAGAGTGTCGGTAGCGAGACTGTGAAGCGAAGGCAATTATCGTAGCGCGAAACTTGAACGTGGCAGTGCGCTTCGAGGACGACGGGCTCGATGTGTGGGAGTGAGTGTTTGGCGTCTGATACGACGGGTCAGGTCCCTGGGGATTCTCAGGGACTCAAACGGGACTATCCCGCCGCTTCTCCCTCTCGTCGCAGTTAATTACCAGTCCTTCTCGGCCGTGCTTGAATCGACCTCTCTTCCTCGCTCCGTTTACCTTAGTCCCTTAGTCTTGCTCGAACCCATATCGCTCCCGCCAAGCGATATACCCTCGATAATTCACGACCGTGCCGTGTCTTGTGCGTGTATTGTTCTGGGATTTCTTTTTTTCATCAAAACAATTTTCGCGAAATCGATCATTAAACTATATTACGCGGTCGAAAATCTATCGTATTTTTTAATACAGATGATTATTTTTTAATACAGAAGATTATACATTGTTAAGAAAAAGAGATTATTTTTAAAATATACTTTTAAAACATTTTTCTATTATTGTGAATATATATCGTTATTAAAATAATTAATATATTAATACTGTTACAATCTCTCGTTTTCAAATCATAATAAAAATTTCTACCAATTATTACTACATTAAACTTTCCCCGCTATTAAGCGTACTCGAGAAAGATACACATCTTACACGAGGCATACTTGGACGCAATTGAAAAGAACCGTGCTCTTTTATGCGATTCGATGCAATGTGCTTGCGCGTGCCACGCATAGCACGACGCAAAATGTGCAATTTCAGCAGCGTTACAGAAATATACATACTCGTATACACATTTTAAGAGTTCGGTGCGGCAATCAATAGGCGGCAGAGAAACCCCCGTGGGAATCCAAGCGAGCGAATCGTAGCGGGATTGAACGCTTGAAATGGAATAATATCCAATAATCTGGCAGCCGAGAGAACGGGATAAAAAGGGACGTTTTATCGGGGCATCGCAGCATCCAACCCAAGCGGCATCCGACCATTTCCGCCAAGCCATTCCGCCCCGTTCTCGGCTAGCCGGTAAAATTAATTATTGATTTCGGATACGCGCATTCAGTCGCGGCGGACGGCTTTTAATCGAAAACGAGCCATCCGTCGCGCACTCATTTCCGACCGCTACGAATTTAACAACGAATCGATCTGAATATGCCCGCTGCGTTACACCATCATCTCCATCATCCGCGGAAAAAAGCATCTATCGTTTCAATTTTGTTCCATGTTATTTTTCAAGATACCTGATATAACGATTAAACAAAAAAAAATATCTCCTAAATATTCTTATCTCTGATCCGTTGCTAATGATATATAATTCCGTAAAAAAAATAACGCAGCTGCATTAATTCAAATGTAATTTTTCAATACGTTAACATGTGATTTCAAATTAAAAATCATTCGTTTAAACTTTATGGAAAAATATCAAAGTAATAAATGGAAATAATGTATGAAAATAATACATACAGGAATGGAGAAGAATGTAGGAATATCTGGAGAGAAATTGGTGCGTCTTCTTGATTATCCTTTGAAGGAAGTAGAGGGCTGAGGCTGAGGTATTGGAAAGGAGTTACCGATTGATGGTTTCATGATATCTTCCTCCGACGTAACGCCGAAGTCTATCAACTAAATCGAATAATAAATATATTACTAAATTGAAAAATAAGTATCATTTTATATATATAACATTTTAGAAATTATCTTTATAAAAAACGCAGAAATTTAATTTTATTTTTATATTAAAGTTATTTTTTTAATGTTATTTTACGAGAAGGATATTAGGAATATAACATAAAAGGAGTTGTAGATTCATTTTAGAGGAGATTATAAATCAATTTTATGTTAGCAAATGCTTTACTTCTGTATACGTGTATATGTATATGTTGACAACTTGATAATCAACTTATAAAAGAAATATAAATCAATTTTATGGCATATATATATATATATATATATATATATATATATACACATATATACTTTACTTCCGTGTATATATATATATATATATATATATATATGTATATATATATTTAATTCTATTTTCAATTTTTTATATTTGACATTCTCTTTTATTTTTAGAAAAAAAGTATTAAAAAGAAAATATATATTTATGCGTGTTTTCTTTTTAACATTATTTTTCTCTCTAAAGATGACAAATAAAATTATTAAATATATAAAAGTAAAGCATTTTTCTATAAAGATATAATTTACAATTAATGCTCTATGTGTTAGAAATTTATCTTCTCCGTGATCCAGCATAGTGAAAATTGTTTATATAATACTTTATATATACTTTAAGCAATATCTTTAATCACCTCTTGTAATTCTGCTTTAGTAAACATATGAAACAATTGTCCAGGTGTCATTGTCATTACTTCGATATTGGTATCATTCAGTTTTTCTTCCATTACTTGCTTTAATATTGTCAGCGCAGCTTTTAATGCTTCCTTAAGTGTCATAGACTGCAAGAATAATAATATTCGATTGCAATATAAAGATAAATATGTATGTAAATATGTAATAATTTAAATTAATTTAATAGAAAAAATAAATTACCTTATGATATACTTCTTGAAGGTTTTGTTGAGCTCCTTCACTACCAGATCCTATAGCTTTTGCATCAAATTGAACAAAAGTTCCAGACGGATCCATGTGATACAACTGCGGACCTTTTTCATCAATCCCAGCAAATAACATTGCTACACCAAACGGTCTAGACATAGCAGTACCATCGTCATCGCTATCTCCAAACTGTATAGCTAAATTAGATACTGCTTGAGCGGTTGATTCTACTGTCATTCTTTCATTGTAGACGAACCAATGATTCTGACATTCAACTCGAGCTCTATCTATCATTGTTCGTGAATCAGCCATTAGACCAGATGCCGCACATCCTATGTGTTTATCAATTTCTACAATTTTTTCTACAGTTGTTGGTTCCATTAAAGTAGAAGTAATGCGTTTTTCCACTGCTAGAACGACTCCTTCTGTTGTTGCAATTCCAATGGCGGTAGAGCCAAGTTTTATGGCTTCTATGGCATATTCCACTTGAAATAATCTTCCCTCCGGTGAGAAGGTATTTACTCCACGATCGTATTCAGAACGTGTTAAAAACATCTTGAAACAAACAAAAGACATAAGTTAGATGTACTGATAAAGTTGTGTCTTATATTTATATACTTGAATTTACTTGAATTTTAAATTATGAATATATATATTTATCTATTATTTATATATACATAATAGTTATATATATATATATAGTTATCTATTTTATATATATATATATATATATATATATAATATATATATCTGCATTATCTGTATATTATCTGTATATTTATACATATATTTAGTTATCTATTCAATCTTGCGGATTTCAAGATGGTAATATAGATTTAGGCCAATAACTTTTTGGACAAACATTTAATACAAATACGATAGATTTGAGGTTAGACATCATTATAAATGACATAAATAAATTCACTAAAGTTATAAAATTACGAAAACCTTTGTCAACACAATTATAATATCGGAAACATTCAAGTATCCATAGAAACGAATGAAAGTTTAAACTAACAGTACAAACTGAAGTAAGTCGGTTAACCAAGAATGACATAGCAAAACGAAATCGAGCGTTCTATTTACGCATTCTGGTTACGGCAACCTAATCATAACACATACTTTATCTACTATTATTTTTAAGAACTATAGCTTACCTTGCTTCGTTTTTATTACAAACAAACGTAAATAGTACGTGAAACGCCGACTTGTCACAAACGCCAGTCACGAAAAGTCGCGGAGAGTTGAACGCAATGGCGGCAAATGGCGGGGGGCACAATGACATTGGCGTAATCACTAGTGGACCTCAGGGCATATTTCTAACAAAATGTCGCTCGTGTGTTCGTATGACGATTGGCGCTACAAGAATGGACCAATATTAAGGTGCAATTTCATTGACGCTAGAAACCAGCGGCAAATTAAAATCACTAGACTTTCTCTAGATATGGCGTCAATAAAATAAAGTTCAAACAGTTTCAACTTTTTCAGTGTGTAAAGCGGCCTTTTCATTGACGCTACTTTTTAGCGTCAATGAAATTGCACCTTAACAGTTGGCAGCCCTACGAGATAGGCTGTGCAGCACTGCGCGTATATAAAATAAATTTGAAATCGCTTCTAGCCTAACCATCTTCACGCGATCGACTTTATTTGAATTGCACGGCATCGCATCGAATTATGATGCGATGCGGCGCCGATTTGTTCGAACGTAATTCGGGACATCGCGATGCTGTATAAGCGTCGAATGAGCACGAATTGTCACGCAAATATGATAAATCACATCTACTCACCGTTCACCGGCTGTTCCACAGGCCGCTCCACTCGCTCGCCTCGGGACGTCCCATTCCGATCTTGATGCACACGATATCATCAACGCGAACGCGCGACACTTTATTCGGCACTCCCGATATTCGCTCGCATCCGATAATCATCATCAAGGGCGCAAATAACGCGACGCGACTTCGCTCCATCTTCGCGATCGCGCTATCACTGAACTGTGAAAAATAGCTGTCGCGCACTTTTATCGACATATTATGAAAGTCGCGCGATCATCCTTGGACACTTTCGACGCTCTTTCACTCGCGATATTCGTTTAAAAACGGTTAAAAGACGCGAAAAATGCGGACGTACGACGATCCGTGTAACTGCGTATGACTCCGATTCACGTATGACGCGTATGACGTAGCAGTGACGCGCTAACATGGCGGCCGAACCAGTGTGCATTCGTTTCTGCGCACTGGTTCGGCCGCCATGTTAGCGCGTCACTGCTACGTCATACGCGTCATACGTGAATCGGAGTCATACGCAGTTACACGGATCGTCGTACGTCCGCATTTTTCGCGTCTTTTAACCGTTTTTAAACGAATATCGCGAGTGAAAGAGCGTCGAAAGTGTCCAAGGATGATCGCGCGACTTTCATAATATGTCGATAAAAGTGCGCGACAGCTATTTTTCACAGTTCAGTGATAGCGCGATCGCGAAGATGGAGCGAAGTCGCGTCGCGTTATTTGCGCCCTTGATGATGATTATCGGATGCGAGCGAATATCGGGAGTGCCGAATAAAGTGTCGCGCGTTCGCGTTGATGATATCGTGTGCATCAAGATCGGAATGGGACGTCCCGAGGCGAGCGAGTGGAGCGGCCTGTGGAACAGCCGGTGAACGGTGAGTAGATGTGATTTATCATATTTGCGTGACAATTCGTGCTCATTCGACGCTTATACAGCATCGCGATGTCCCGAATTACGTTCGAACAAATCGGCGCCGCATCGCATCATAATTCGATGCGATGCCGTGCAATTCAAATAAAGTCGATCGCGTGAAGATGGTTAGGCTAGAAGCGATTTCAAATTTATTTTATATACGCGCAGTGCTGCACAGCCTATCTCGTAGGGCTGCCAACTGTTAAGGTGCAATTTCATTGACGCTAAAAAGTAGCGTCAATGAAAAGGCCGCTTTACACACTGAAAAAGTTGAAACTGTTTGAACTTTATTTTATTGACGCCATATCTAGAGAAAGTCTAGTGATTTTAATTTGCCGCTGGTTTCTAGCGTCAATGAAGTTGCACTTTTAGTATCCGAGTATGAAAAGTACAAGCAATACGAACAGGTCTCGTACAGACAAGAGCGCCTAACCTCTCAAACAATAAATAAATAAATAGTAGCAATTTTATAAAAAAAAAAAATGACAGCATATATTAATTCGCAAAAATTAAGAATGATTATAAAGGAGGAAGATTGGGAGAAATTTTTAGAAAATGTCAAACCCAAGCATTTTGTCAAACAAGAATCAGAGTATGTATAAAGTATCAAATATAAAGTATCAAAAAAATTTATAGATAATTATATGTAATTGTTATATATGTTTCAGGATATTGTTTGATGTGAGTATTTTAGCACAGATATGTCAGACACTTATAACCGAAACCACTCCGGATGTGATTAAAATTTTATGTTTGAAATGTCTGGGTAACTCTTGCCTCGACACTTACAAATATAAACAACACGCAATGGGAAATATGGAATCTGATGAATACAACAAAAATTTGTATGAAGAATTAGCTAAGAGTGATTTATGCGAACATGGGCACAAGCAAAATTGCGACTATCCACACGATTCTCATTTTCCTTATGATGGAGTTATAAAATGGACTATAAATTATATTAAAATTCATAATAAATCTATAGATTGCTTAAGCGATAGCAAACTAGATATCTTTAGGCTCAGCATTCAATTCTTATGTAATTTATTTACATATGCATGTTCAAGTATAAGTATATCTATAGACAACGATATACTGAGATATTTAAACTGTGAGAATTTAAAGCAAGCTATTTTGTAAGTTTTTATGCACATAATTATATATAAATTCAAGTTTTTATTCAGTATTCAATTTTGATTAACGTATGATAATTTATTTTTAGGAATAGCATGCAATCTAATCATAAACTTCTTGCCAATGCAGCATGCATATATGTACATAATGCGCTGAACAAATTACATTACAACTATTTTGCAAATAATGAGAAATGTTTATATTCACACTTATTAAAACCTATTAAAGAAGGTTTTACATCTGCAAAAGATGCATTGTTGTTCCTGTTACAACAGTCAAATAAATTTGAAAACATATACAGTAACATGGCTATAAACGAAAAGTTGGATTTACTTGAAATTATTTATAATGAACTCTGGGAGTCTTGGCAATCTCATCACAATACAGTGCTCACAGATACTCAGGCTGAGTTTCTAGCATTAACATTTTGTAAGAATAGTGATCTTATTTTAAAAACTGTAGACACATATGTGGACAGTGTAGATCCTACAGAAGTTGTTTTTATCCTTAATATTTTGGGACTTATTACTACGCGATACAAGTTTTCAGAAAATGCCAGGCCTTTACTTATTAATTGCAAATGTAAGTACATCAATTTCCAATATAATCTGATCAGAGATATAAAAATCTATAATATATTTTTATAGATCTCTTGATGTCTTTACATATGATAGGAAAGGAAGGAGATAACTATTTTACTCCAATAACAAATTTAAGTCAAGTGGCACCAAATAGTCAAGAAGAAACAATTGATGTAAATTCGCAGATGTATGATACTGAATCAATGATAGTCAAAGTATCAAAGTACAATCTGCAAGATCATCCTGCATATGGTTTTAAAGTAGGATTAATACAAGTTATTGCAAATATGGTACACAAGGACAAAATGTGTCAAGATCTCGTAAGTACAAAATTTTTTTGTTAAATTTTTCCAAGAATTTTTGTGCTGATGCAAATTTATATGTAATTAGTACTGTAATTAGTACTAATAATACTAAGTGTACCTGATGTCGATAAAGAATATTTCTTATTAATCTTAAACGATAAGACAATACTTATTCAAGAATTTTATAATGATTTTTTTGACAAATATTTTGACTGAAATATCTATTTCCTTTATATAAAGCTACAATATATTATTGATAAAATAAACATCTAAAAATATGTAATAATATTTAAATAATTTTCGACAAATAGATTTTTACTTTGATCTTAAAATATATATCTTAATATATATATTTTAGAAACGAAGTTACTTTTCTCTTTCCTATCCCCAGTATTTTAAATTGTTCTTTAAATTGGTCCTTCTCTTTTTATTATTTAATTGTGATATGCATCAGAATATGTTATAAAATATTAAGTTGAGAAATATAGGGGACATTATCTATATTACCATTATACATATATATTAACATCTCTAAAAAAATATTATTTGAAACAATATCTCTCATTAGGCCAAGTATTAAGGAATCACAAATGTTACATGTTAACTGTAAATGTTAACTGTTTACTGTAAATATCTTAATTTTCAAAGGGTAAATCTCTTTTCAATTACATTTTAAATTATTTCAATTACAATTTAAATATCGTTTCAATCTTTAATTAAAATTAAAATTTTGTTTTTTTTTGTTTTATATTTATATTATATACACACATAACTTTGATTTGATTATTATATATACAATACATGTATTATTAAAATGTATTAATTTCATGATAGACTTTCTGTTCTGATTATAACTGCATCTTGATTATTCTTATTATTTCCTACATGTACAATATAATCAATTAACTATATTATCTCTTGTATATATGTGTACATATGTAATATGATAAGTGATTTAAAAGAAACCTTGATAGCTGCAAAATATAAATTTTGCTTTTGTTACGTGCTGCATGCTACGGGAAATCGATATTTCTTTCCTACTGATTACAATCTCGTATGTGAATGATACAGAATATCACGAGCAAAACATCCGTGCGGCCTGTCGCGTCATACAAAACGAAATTAAGTATCCCGTCCGACTGAGAGATGTGGTAAAATGATCGCAATCTGATATGCGTTGCCAACGTTTTGCGTTTAGCAAATGCGCGAGATGACAAAGTCTGCGTTACATGTATATTGACAGATAAATTAATTATAATGAATCAAAGCGCCAACATACGAGAACCTGTCGATGGAATGCTAATTTAATTTCTTAAAGAATGTCCATTAATAATAAAATATAAATAAGTTTTTTATTTTAATTGGATGGATCACTTTAATTATACTTAAGACTAATTATTTAGAAATAATATTCAATTATATATGAACAAAAGCGATATGTTTTGAAACACTTGGAAATATTTCAAATAAAAATATGACATATATGTGTGATTTCAGTTTCGCGAAATAGACGGAATTCCATTACTTTTGGATTGCTGCAACATCGACGCGAGGAATCCGCGTAAGTCTAATTTTTCATTACGTTGTCTTACTCGAATCGCATTTGTTTATATCGCCGACAATTTCCACGCAGTTATATTGCAATGGACCATCTTCGCTTTGAGAAACCTGTGTGAAGGAAACCCTGACAATCAAGATATCATTCGAAATTGTAAAAAGGAAGGAGTAGCCGATAATCCTGTATTAGAAAAGATGGGCTTGACTTTGCATGAAGATGCGGATGGGAATTCGATTCGAATCGCTCCTTTACGCCTTAAGAAATAATTAAGAAAATTTGAATTATTTCCTGAGAGATCGCGATCTTAAATTCAATATTTATTAAATTATTCATCATAACTTTTTGTGTCTAAGATACAATGATCGGTTTAACGATATATGTAAATAATATAATTGTTATTCCCATTAAATAGATTGGAAATATATCCTGCTATATCGTTCACTGAATTACCATGTACAATCTGTACTATTAAACGAAATACGATATCGTGTTATATAGAGAGATATTTTATTCACGGTCGAGTGATTTATGATACAATAAAAACTACACTACTAGAGTTCATAGTCTATTAACAGCTGCAAATGTAAGTATACTACTGTCGATTTTTAATTGTAGCTCGAAATGAGATTTATTTATACTATAAATAATGAATCTCTCATTAAGATTTCTCTTAATGTGTATAATATGATAATTTGATCATTTTTAGATAATATTCTTCGACAAATCAATAAATAGATTCACGATAAGTAAATATCCACCTTTCTCCATGCTCTTTCACGAAATCGCTCAAAATAGAGATGTCGAGGTTCATTTGCATTTAAGAATTATAGAACCTTTAATTACTCTGTCAAGAAACGTATAAATTTTAATAATTTTAATAATTAATGCACGTCTTTGATTCTCTCTCTCTCTCTTTCTTGCCTTCGCGATTCAAGACGATAATTTCTCACCGTCATGGCTGTTTCTCACCGCGAACAATTTTACGATGAGGAACGATATGACGTCGTCCTTCCCGTAATAGGCGTTTATTAATGTCATCCGTGCGCGAGCGCAATCAAGCGAGGAGGACTCGCGGTGGGTGAGAAATCCCGCCTGCGCGCACCGACTTGTGCGTTAATTATACCGGAAGTTTCGAAACACACGCACGTACATACATGACAAGTTACGCGTTTTCCTTTCTAATGGAATTAGAATCCGAACGACGTGGTTTCCAGTCGTCGCGCGCGACGGAACGGGATCGGTAAATAAATAATATCGGATAATTATCTTCTCGTAGAGCATATTATGTATACGTTCTATTTAACGGTAATACGAAGGGACACGAAGGATTTACGAAATGTAATAATACGTTTCCGGACGTAATACGCGATTTAATCGAGCATGACCGATCGCTGATTTACGGCGTGGTTTTCAATGAAGAATAAAATTATTCTGAATAGTTGCGAGGGTCTAGTTTTATTCCGTAAATGTACGGATCGAGCGCAAACGTAATGTATGACGTAACAAAGGATAATAAGTAATTTGTAACGCGCGTGAATTTTTGTTGGAATTATTTTCTCGAGAAGGGCTGCGCGTTTACGACGAGATATCTCTCAATCTCGCACGTTTTACGCATAAAAGTAGACGCGCGTTATACGCGTCTCGCGTACGAGAACGTTCGATATAAATTGCTTTTGATTTAAATAACGACCCATCCCACCGAACGATCAATCTTGGGCCCGCGTAATGAAGAGCAATTAACGCGAAATTTATCAGTTAATTACATATGCGGTTAATTGCCACGAATAATTATTTCCGCGCAAAAGATCGCTCTCGTTACATCTCGCGTACGCGCGTGAGATGGGGATCCTGGAGGCGAGATGAGATTCCTAATAAATAAACCACGTTAACCATGGCGGTCGATATATCGATAGGAGCGGCTTCTTGAAAAGAATGCAAGTTCTTTCAGAAGCTGGCGCAAAAGTACAGACTAATCACGAGAATCTGGAGAGCCAAGATGAGAAATGTTGATATTCGTTGTGTGGGAAAATTTCACTTTTTTCTCTATAAACCGTATCACAAAAATCGTAGGACATAACTTCTCCCATGAGCGAAACGTCTATTTGCGTGATAAAAATTGATCGGCGTAATTAACTGAATTCAATGTAATACCGCGTGTCTCGTAAGAGAAATGTCCTCCGACCAAGATGCAAAGGATTTCGTCGATCGCCAGCCTTATTAATATTCATAGACACTGACTGAGGAGGAGCAGGGAAGCGTAAGAAGCGTCTGGTCGTGCGTGAGATCGCTCAGGTGCGTAAATTCTGATCCGCCTCCTTAATAATCAACTCGTTGACGCAATAAATTCCGGCACAAGATGCCCGAATATATATGGAGAAAAAGAGAGAGACAAAGAGAAAGAAAGAGAGAGAGAAGAGGAGGAATGGCTCTAGCGAATGTTTTCCATTTCTCTCCAATATTATACTTGTACAAGTTCGATTAATTCATTTATTATAATTTTAGTCTTGAAGAAATATTTGAAAGAGTTATACAAGTTGAAGGAAATTTTTGCTTTTAATGCACTTGCTTATTTTATTGCTTTAAGAAAAGTCTTTTTTTTCTCTTATATTATCGTAGGATTGTTTACATGGAGAAAATATTAAAGTAGAAATTACAATATAATTTTTGTAATCGTGGAATATGTTAATACCTGAAGAAAAACATGGTACTTTATTCTCAATAATATTTGTACAAGTATTATATTTTACAAAAGGGAGTGTATTATAATTATTAAAATTATATTTTATTGCACAAACAAATGCATAATTTCTAAAAAATAATAAATATCCTGATAAATCGTTATATTTCAGCTTTATATGTATTGTAAAAGAGAAATTTTTCATACAATTTGTATTATAAAATACATGTTGTAAGAGGGAAATTTTTCATGTAATTTATACTATAAAATTTTCTCCGTGTGCACATTCTACAGATAAAAAGCGTTGATTATAGCTTGTCTCGAGATTTTTAGCAATTGCGGCTCTCTTGCTCAGAAGGTCTCATTGAAAGCAAAGACCGTCTACCGTATATCGTGATTGATAGATCGCCAGTAGATAATCGGTACGACAAACGAACTAGATCCTCGTATTAATAGAAGCTGCATCGAATCAAGTTCGCGTCGGCGTCTAATAAATAAGTCGCGGATTCTCCGCGCGAAAAAGACACGAGGGCTGAACACAGGCGGCCGCCCACGCGTGACTTTTCTCTATCAAAGAGCCGACGTGGCGATACATTTCCTATGACTTTCGCATATATTTCATGTACGTCCTATGTAATCCGCTGCATAATCGTGTAAGAGAATGGAATCGACATTAAGAATCATAGTTGCTTTCTTAAAAATTTGATTCTCGCTATTATAACAAGCGATGGGGCTGTCACAAATTTTGAGAAAAATAGAGAAACTGAGAATTTTACATTTAAATACATTTTCATGTCGGAAAAAAGGGAACTAAGGACCCTTATGATACTTTAACGAAACGATGACATCGAGAAGGATCGGAGAAGAATCGCGGCGAAACATGTGTACGCCTAATCGTAAACGTAAACGGAGCACCGAGAGCATATGGATCGCGCGATGCCTTTTAATGACTGCCGCACACGGTGCATAAGCCGTAAATGTTACATCGGGGGATTCGTGTAATAGCCACTAAAAACGACGTTCGTCCTTTTATGGATCGTAAAGGCAGGAGATTTGGAACCTGCTAGCTGGATTGATCCGCTTAACTTAAAGAGAGCGAAGCACAATCGTGCTTTTCAAACATAATCCAAAGGTAACGAAGGTCAGTCGATGATTCCTTTCGCGCGCATCATCAAATTTCTCGCAACAAAATCATCCGATATATCGGATACATTTTTTAATGATATCGTATTAATTTTCACGGAGAAAAGATTAATAAGGTAAATTGAATAATATCTGAAGAAAGGATTGAAAATTTTGCTTAACATTGTTACAGCCGCTAATTGCACGACTCGCATTCAAACTTGAAACCGGAACGTTTCGGTTTACCCGGGTAAATTAATCCCCTTGGACGCGCGCGCATTGTCCGAGCGATGAAAAGTCTACTCTAATTATCCCTCGTGTAAACGGAGCCTCCCGTCGACTTCTCGAGAGACGGATACAACGTTGCTCGTAAACAATGACAATGGAGGGCCTGCGAGCCCAGCGGAGCCCAGGCCCTCATGATGGGCGCCGCGATCCGTCCGAGTTAATTAATCGCGCCGGACGATCTCCATTGAAATGGAATCTGGATAAATTTTCCGTGCCGATGCTGCCGGGACGCTATAGCATGTGGGCATTATCTTTACGACCTCTCAAAGAAGAGAGGAAACGTCGACGGGGTGGCGGACGGGGACGCATGCGCGCGATACCGCGGCTGCACCAAAACCGGAGAACCTGTTATCAGAGGAACAGTGGCTGGGACCTGGGCCAATTATCATGCAGGCCAGATTCGTGCTCGGTCTCGTTCACCCTCGTTCCATCTGAATCTCGGCCGTTGGACTTGGTCACATCCGCGTTCACGTGTCCCCTTGACAACATCGTGCAACGTGTTGGATCAACATGGTTCTCCGCGCCCCGGACTTTAAAAAAAATCGAAACTTTTAAATCTAACGTTCTCGCAGAACCCAACTGACCCAAGATTATAATTGTGCTCGTATACCAATTTAGCTGTCGATGTTGACGTAGGTTGTGTCCTACGTTACTTGTGCGGATAGGAATAATAGGCTGACATGACAAGGCGCTTTGCACGTAACGTGTTGTCGATAAGCAGTGTTTTTACCGTCCGCCAAGAGTGTCGAGACACGTAAAGACAGCGACCAATTCGATGCGAGATTAAATGCAAACGCAAGTCACCGAGAGTGACTTTGAGAAAATGCGTCTCCTTTCGCCTCTACCTTTTAACGACAACGCGACTGGAAATGATCATGCGGCGCGATTTATGAAAGATATCGCGCGTTAATCGCACGATTGCACACGGTGCATTCTCCATCTTTGGAAAATTTGCAATTTGCCCGACATTCACGTGACAAATGATCATGGAAGACTCGATACGCCCGGGTGATACACTTGGAGGAGAAAGCTACTTATTATCAAACCGCGGGCCAAATGTCCCAATTTGTATCGAATCATTAAATAGCGACAGCGATGATTTATGAAAATCGACGGACACGCTAATTGCCTGTCGATGTAATTTATCAGATGGTGTTTTCATCTCCGTGCAGACGCAGGTTGTTGCTTTGTGCGCGAGGAAGCGGATTGAAATAATTTCGTCAGTTAACAAAACATGCGGCGGCTGTTTAATCACGATACGGCATAATGAGGCAGATTCGAGGCTTGTTCCTGAGGTAAGTATCCGTTAACTATTTTCAAGAAAATTTGCCATTTCACATGCATTACTTATAATAATGTAAAATAAACAATAAGAAGTAATAGACGTATGTGAAAGTACAGATTTGAAAAAAATTAAAATATTATTTATTATTCTCTTCAGCTCACTTTGGGCTATCTTTAGTAAAATTTCGATTAGATACAACACCTTGCACTTTGACATAACGAAAATGGATTTGAACGGATGCAAGCATAAAAGAATAAAGAATTTTCTAATCGATGATTTTTCTTATTATTATTCGTAAAGAATATTTTATCCAATCGAAATTTAATTAATCCGAAATACATCAAAGCTATAACAAACATTATTTAAATCTTTTTTAACCAAATGTTTATTTGCGCCTATTATCGAGCTCTTATATTAATTCCTTGTTTATTGTTTATTTTACATTACATTATTGATAGCCTATTT